GTTATGTTATGGATGGTATGAATAATATTATGAATTCAGCGTTGGCTCAACCAACATTTCACATAATGCTGTTGGAGAATTTTTCAGTTCTCAATCCCTCATTGTTGCATAAATAGCACTAAGCGCTCGTTAAGTGAAGTTGGATTAATATGGAACTTGTTATGCATGCACTTCATTGTTTACTTATTCAATTCTTCTTATTTTGACCGATCATCTGTTCTATCACGTCAGTTTTACTTTATTTTCTGTTACTAGGTGGAATATCGTCGTGACATTTTACATTAACTTACGCGATTAATGTATTCATTTGCTAACTAACTTCTATCATTCAGTTATTAAGTAACATCAGGAAGATTTACAATTATAGCTAGCAGACATCAGTCTTACGTGTTCTGAAAATAATTAGATACGTAGCGTAAAAGCATGTATAGTCATAACTGCCTATATCGTAGTGAAATAAAATTTAAAAAAAAAAGCTTAAAATGGCTTGTTTTATTATTTTGACAATATCTCTAATAAATTAAATTAATAGAGACTTTGCTTAAATTCAAAAATTACTTAATTTAGTTCAAAATTAGACGTCTCTTTACAATCGGATTTGTTGTTTAAAAGCGTCATTTCAACAAATAACTGGCCACAATTTTCCAAGAAATCTTTTGTGATTTTTCACAACAACAAGAAATTCTTCCACACACTCTTGAAGTTTACAGAATGCCTGATGAATTATAAGCTATGCAATGAGTTAATCTTGCAACATTTAAAATTCAAAAAATATATTCAACAATCATTCAGTGATTTCAAAAATATCAATTATCCAGTCCATTTTTCCGTAATTAATTTTGTAAATTATAAGTCGAGTCTATCTGAGTATCGTTATTAGTCGGAAGATAAATGTGGACCATCTTTAAAAAGAAATTAAATTTTTACCTCAAATTTATTGATATTTTCTGAATCCCTGTGAATTTGACAAAAAATATTAACCATCGATTATTTTGGAAAATTAAAACAAAAAATTTTTTCCTTACATGATTAATGCAAATATCGGAAATGATTTCTTATCTATCATCTATGATAGCATAATCGTTGCCATCACAGATGATGGCAAAAAATTACTTCTCTGACAATTGGATGCATTAGCACGTCTATCAGAGCTTTGCTTCTTTTGAAACCCCATTGATTGCTATATGGATTTACAACATGCTTGTTGCATTGGAAAAAATGAGGACTGAGGCGATGGATTCAGGTTGATGATATCACCGCCTACAAATGGAAAGAAAAGCGATTTCAAAATTTAAACTGATAGAGTATATATATATATTCATCTGTTTATCAACACGAATAACATTTGACATGAAAGTAATGGAAGCGAGTACTGGCTGTTTGTTGATAAAGGCAGATATCCGAAAGAGAAATACGAATGATAGAAAACGACGAAGATACAAATGGGTCATTAAGAAAATGAGGATACCGAATTGATTGATGGTGGTGTTGATGTAAATCCGGGATTACTGCAATAATGTGATTTTAAAGACGACAAAAGGCAAACAAAATGATGTACTCATTACTAATTTCTTTTTGAATTTCAATGAACAGTTGAAAATTTTTAAGATCTCTATCATATATGTTACAAAAATTACAATGACATGCGTTTTCTTGTTTTTTTTTTCTAAATCTCTCAATAATTTTATTGCACTCTTAAAAAAAGGGTAGTTATTTTCACTACTGTAAATGATTTGTTTTCTTGATGTTGTCGCACTTCAACTTTTCAGAAAAATTCATGTTTTCCACGTTGACTTATCCTTCCATCAATCGATAAACTTTGTTCGAATTTTTTTATTTAAGCGGCTGACTTTACAATTTTCTTCCTCATATGCTATGACTTTTAGAATTTCCTTTTTTTCTTCTTAATAAACTAGCTTTAAATGTTTTGGGGCTTATTATCGAATAATTGCAAGTAGAAATATGCTATTAAAAAGCTAAAAAGCACTTAGTTAATAATTGTTAATTTGGCAAATAATTGCATTTCAGTTTTAAATTTCCTTTTTTTAAATCGATTATTTAAAGCAGTTAAACTTTTTTCGATATCTATGTCTTTAATTAACGCTCAATGTATGTTTTTTGTATGTTCAGTTAATGTATTTTTGTCCGTTCACTACTAGGCATGATCTAATTGCAGATATGATCTGATTCTAAGCTATGATCTAAGCGTTATTAATGAGATATTTTCATTGATCTCATATTGAATTCATGAAATGCATCTTATCACCAAAAATTCAGATCAAACAGATAAGTGATATTATTTGATGATGCGAACGAATGAAGCATTTATTTTTTCACAATTATGGCTTATTTTTGCTACTCAAAGCACAAATTACTATGAACAGAAAGGCCTAGCAATGATTCCAGATATAAATTTCATCTCAGTGAGCCAAAAATCATCATCCGTGTCGTTTCCATTTCACAATCTCACACAGCACTCACGTCAAAAACACGACGAACGTCGTTTACTGACAGGGCGCAATCATAGATTGCAACATTATCAACCGAAAAAAGGTTTATTTTATTTTATTTATAATTATTGCTGTGAAAATACAATTCATTAAAAAGGTTGTGCAAGCAAATTGAATTTTCCATTTCCATTAATTACAATTTGCTTTTTGTTCATTTACAAATTCTTAGACTCTTACTCAGTAATATTTGCCATAATTCGAAGTAGCTATCTTTTGGGAAAAAAGTGATTTTGTTGATCGTCTAATGCAAAGATGAAAAAGCATTAAATCAATGAAAGAGAATGGAACGAATATGCACCACAGTTACAGTAGAATTTTTGATAAAAAATTTGTTGATCGAAAATAAATTTAATATTTAAAAGTTGTATTTTTCTCATCATTCATTATTTGTTTAGAAGCAGAAATGTTGATAGACAAACAACCAGGTGACATGGGAGAGCCACTTGTCAAATTCCCGGTTGTAACATTTATTCAGAAATATGCTAGCAACGATACACGATTGATTCCTCCGGCAAATAGTAGCACACTGCAAAACATCGCATTTCCTGTTTTGCCAAACAGTGGTACTTCTTTTTTTTAAAAAAACTTTATCCTCGTATCACTATTTATGACTGTTATTCAACCCATTCCATCTTTTATCATTAAGACGTTTTTAGTTATCTTGGTTCCTTTTTTTTTAAAAAAAAATCATCCCTATTGCTATCACTCAAAGAGTAATTTACTTGAGAACCAAAGATATATCTTAAATTGTTGTAGAAGTTCATCGGAATAGAAGGAGGAAATTATCGAATAATACCGGAGCATCTGAGGAGGATAATGATGATGATAAGAAAGATGAGGATGACAACAATGAATTAAATAACAATGCGATTGATGTGGAGTTGGAAATTCGACGAAAAATGGAGCGTACCACAATGGAAGTTCGCAACTATCCTCCCGTTACCCAAGCTAGTCCATCTTCTATTACTGCAATTGATCCTGAACATGTTTCCGGTTTATCCATTCTAGTAACTTCCACTCCGTTACCTTTCATCCCTGCTCATCCATTTTCGTATGATCTTGATTTTGGAATCCGTACAACGGTTTCATATGCAATCCATACTTCATCCTTACCTTCATCCACCCTTCAAGATCAACGCCACAATCAGGAAGTGATACAGCAACCGAACATCACAGAATTATCCGCAATTCCTTCTTTCATAACTGCCTTGCAATCGGTTGCACTACCGATATCACTGAGTAAACCTGAAACATCATTCAATCTTTTTGATACTCAATTACAAAATTCTGGAATTGGTGCAGTAATCAGTGATGGTCATTTTCGGAATTCAGATAGTGCTGATTCAAAAAGTATCGATGGTGCAATTGGACAACAACATCAATTACCGGAGAAAATTCCGACGCAAATGCAAATGAATCTCCGGGAGTACGAGCCGGTGGATGATGTGTTAGGCTGTACGTGGGATATCGTTACCAATAGTTGCAAAGATTTGTTTTCTTTAAAACTCTGTTCACATTGCCATGATTTTGGAAATATTTTTCTGCACAATTGTAAATGTCTTGTGAAATATACAACGACATTTTGAACACAGTACAATTATACCCCATTCCATTGCTTGCTTATTTTTTTTGTTCAGAATATACAATTCGGATTAAGAAGTCGAGTGAAAAGAAAGTTAACGAGTGAAAATAGAAAGCATCTATAATTTGGAATTTCAAAATTCTATACGTTTCAACTTTGTGGAAAATTTCACTTCAAGTTTATTGCAAACATTGATGAATAATATTAAAATACCAAATACCTTATCAAATTGTTCGAATATCGATATATATAATCTTTTGCTTAAATTAAAGAACTTAAAACCGCAATTTGTTAATAATCGTATCAATTATCAAGTTACTTTTGAGATTTTCTTTTGACTGTAATTTGTTACTTTTCCATATGTTTCGTTAATATGCCATTATATTTTTTATACGGTGAGAATTTATTGCATGCTATAAACTAATGAATTTGAAATTTAAGCATCTGTAATTATTAAAATGCTTTAATCAACAGGAAAACAACTTTCTATCAGTATTACTAAATATATAGATGAATAGTCAAATAAAAATGAAACCTAAGAATTGATGCATTTAAAATTTGAAAAGATTGCTTCTTCACTCAATAATGCAAACGAGACAATATCCCTGAATGAAACGATTATAAGAAAAAAAAGAAGGAAAAAGAAAGAGGAAAGTATTTCCAGCTTTTTTTGCATCAAAACGAATTCTTGAGGAAAGTTTTTAATGTGTGAAATAAACTGAGAAGTTCATTTCGAAGTTTTTATTTCAAACTTTGTCATTCATCTTAAAATTTCTCATGAATTTGAAGAATAGAAAGAATGTAAGAGATTTCTCTATTCTCTCGGAAATTTTTGCTTCATCTAAAAAGCGTGTAAGTTGGAAATATATGATAAGATGGTATCTGTGCTGAAAAATGGATTGTCGAGAAATCAAAAAAGTTATAATGTGGTATTGAAGTAATACAAAGAAATGATGTAATGTTAAACTTTCACTCTTCAGGTACAATGAAGCAGAATATTTCTCCTTGTGCTTGCACAAGAATAATCACGGTGAATATCAGAAATATTACGCCAGAACTAATCTTCTAACGATAAATGAAAAGTATTTCCGAAAAATGATTTCACTTTGCAATTTTCAACATAGCAACTTTTATTTTACAAGGACGATAATGCAAGATAATAAGAGCTCTATTTATTTGGTATTTGAATAGATAACATGAAATAATGACAAAATTTAACACATGAAATAATGCCAAAATTTATATTTTATTTCGAATGAATTACTTAACTAATCACTAATTTGATTTGTTACTGATTTATAACAAACAAGTCGTTCTATTCTGTAATCGCAAAGATGTCAATTAGGTGTGAAATAATTTTATTTAAAATTATGAGGGATTCAACAGAGTATCTTCAGCCGAATGCTCCTCTTTTATGACAGGTTTACCAAGTTGCTAATTATACCGAATGGTCCTTGCTTTGAATTATTAAATAGAAATGTTTCAAGTAGCTTATATGAATATTGACTAAGTTATTTGATTAAATATTTGATCATTCATTATGCCTTTTATAAATCGATATATTAATGTGTCTTTTTAGAGGAGGGTTTTTTCATTAGTAATAATTCATTTTATATTGTTTTGTTGAAATTTTTTGAAAAAGTGTATTTGATTTGATCAGAAAAAATTCAAATGTTTTCATAAATTTTCGTTCTTGGATTTTTGCAATTTTTTAAAATATACATTTAGCAAAATATTTTAATAATCCATTTCATACTATTTAATTTTAATCAATTTTAGTTCAATTAATCTTTCAAAAAAAAGAAAAAGGAGATTGTAGAAAAAAATGAAATGAATGTTTCCGTTAAAATTAAAATTTTAATCCAAAACTTTAACTCTTTCGAGTTTTCGTTTCATTCTAGTTTTTTTTTAAATTATTTCGCTTAACACATTTAAGTTAAAAGTTATTATTTTGGGAATAAACCTTACTTCGACACTTTTTTATTTTTTAGTACTGACACGATTGGATATAGTTTAGCTGTTTAATCGTCATAAGAAATTCCCTTTTCTGCAATTCAAGCCAAGTATCAAAAAATCTGGTCTCCAGGTAATCAATTGGATTATGAAATAAGCAATATGGCATAAACAGAAGTAATAACAAAAGTCTACGTATTCGCCTTATTATCCTTATCACTAACATTATGTCATTCTAGCGGAAATTCTACAAATACAAATGTTTTATATAAGTGAAAACGTTGTTTATACCAAAAGGATATAATAGAAGAAAGCAAAAATTTAATTTGACAAAGTGATGAAATTTGAATTAAGCTTTAGTAAAATTTGCTTATCTAGTTTAATCTTACAAAGATTCTAATCACGCCAAGTACGTGAAAAATAACGGTATTGTATAAAATAACACCACTATAGTGCTCGTATAGCCACCATTTAACCACCGTCTACATCAAATACACCATATAACCAATTTATCTACAAAATAACAATTTCCATAAAAAATTAACTTTCATGCAACATTTTACTGGTAGATCAATAAACGGCTTAATAATCTTATCTTCATGATATCAAAAAATAAATAAAAAGTAACTGAAAACATTACATATGAGAATAATGGGAGAATTGAAGGAAGAATATTATTAAATTAGCCAGGAGAATCAACAAAGCAAATATAAACTGATACTTTAAGGTATGTAAATTGATCAGAGGATTTCAGAAAGGACTAAATGCCTTATGGAAAGAAAGATATCTCGGAAGGGATATTACCTTAAATGACTAGCCAAGTAGAGGTCATTCATTATGTAAAGGTTAATATTAAAAAACGGTTAAAAGAAATTAAGCAATAGGTGAAAAGGATGCAAAATATTGATTCATACTGATGAAACGGTGGTGAGAACCACGGTGGTACGATTGAGAAAGAGGTGAGGACGGAAATTAAAATTTACAACCCGATGTGAGGAAAAATTGGATTACAAAATTTGGATGAAAATAATATTAGCTGAATCAGACATTTTAAAAACGAAAGATTAACAATTGAAGAATCTGAAAGAATTGAATAATTGGTTGCTCATTTATTTTTTCTGCTATTTTACATTTTCAAATTTGACTGCTTTGATTTTTTTCCTTGAAGGATTTTTAAAAATGGAAGAATATGAAGAGGAGAAAATACGTCGTTTTTTTAACAGACAAATTAAGAGTTGATGGGAGAAAAATTGAAATTATCAAGAATGATCCGAAATTTGTTCTACAATATCTTAATTTTGAAAATGTTCTTCAATTCTACAAAATTATTTCAGAAGTTAAGACGTCAGGTTGCTATTTTTTCTGAGAAGAAATTGAAACTATTTCTCTTGAAAAATTTGAATAAGAATTTTTGCTTGACGGTACATAAATTAAAGTTAAGAAATGCAAAGTTGACGTGACATTTATGTGGCACAAAATGAAATGTTCCTGTAAAAAAGTTCAAAAAAAAATTTAGTCCCACAGAGAGGTAATTCATTTTAGTGTTTAAATTATGCTTCGAAAAAATTTATTTTACATTCAATTCGGAATGTTTTCGAACAATCTTTCATTTTCAAATTTATTGATAAAATTGTTCACTGAATAAGGATGCACGATGAATGATTATTGAAATTCCAATCCTCTACATTATTTTTGATCATTCAAATTCAATTAATTTTAGCACATATTTAATTTTTGTACATTTCAACCGGAATTAGCAACTGAATTTAATTTCCTCAGTATTCCCTATCAGTGGTGAAATAAATGAAAATAATATTGGTCTAATATTTGAAAATTGACGCATTTTTGAAACTTCATGGCTTGAATTTATAAAATTTCAAAAAATATGTGACTTTCCCGAATGGAATAGTTGCAACAAAATTTCAAAAAAATAAAAGCAAAATTCCAAGAAGTGGAATAATATCGCAGATGAACACTGCAAAAATATAAAATGAATGCATAGTTAATCTGAGAGAATAGCAGGAAATATGGACCGTTTCGATGATTATTTCGTTCACCATCTCTTTGAAGTGCATCAAAATCTAAGAGCGATTTAAAAAATTCTTGATCTAAGAAATTTTTAATAATAAAAGTTTTTAGTAATAAAAGCAAAACTTTCTATTCACTTAAAGAGAAAGTTTAGGTTCAAAATATGAAAAACAATTCATTTTTCTAATTGTCTTTGAAATATTTCGCTGAATATTGTATTCATTTAGTTTTTCAAATTTATTATTATTTTTTATTGTATTATTCGAAAGGAGCCAAATGATGCTCAAAATTTTCAAACCATCTGTCGTGAAAATTTTTTGTTAGCTTTATTCTAACAGATTCTTATGAGGTATTCAGTAGAGGGATTNCAACTCTGTTTTTGTTGAAATGTTGGTCCTTTGATTATGAAATAAGAGCTGAGTCCTATTCCAATGTGGTTGGTTGTAGCAGAAAAAGATGTGAAGACACGCGTTGAATTGTACTTTATTGCGAGTGAAACCCATTCAAACTTGGGTAATTAAACC